TCTATCTATCTATCTATCTATCTATCTATCTATCTATCTATCTATCTATCTATCTATCTATCTCCATCTATTGAATGATCTATTGCTATATCTTTGTCATCCACTGTATATATATATAATATGTCATCAAACAACAGTCCTTGGGAAGGACTTGATAGGTGGATAAAAATACTAAATTCTCTCTAAACATCTCACTGTCTGCCCAATCACCCATAGTAATAATATGGTTAAATTGTCTTAATTTCATTTCAGTAAAATGGCCTTGCTGGTTTTATTTCAGTCTTAACTTTGGAAAATGCAGTTGCTGCATTTAGGTCAACCTTTCCAAATCTTGATTTGGTCTATAAACAGAGTTGTTGGGAGAGATGAGGGTTTCAAGGCTGAAAAGACCAAGTTAGACCAAGTTGGAGGATGGGAGTCATAACTTTGGAAGATAGAAGGAGTTCCAAGGATGCATGCTTATCTCTGACTAGAGATAGATCTGGGAACCAAGGGCAGACCATGACATTTTGTTCTATGAACTGGTGTAGAATTTGGTACTTTTGCCTTGTACCCAAGACTTACCAATGTTTTCCCCATGTCTCCCAAGTAAGAAAATCTTGAAAGGCCCTATCCTAATTCCTGCTGTAAAAATACACTGATAATATAATATATGTTCCTTTTTCACAAGACTGAAAACTAGACTTGGAGTCACCATCATCTGATCCTTCTCTTGCTTTGGAAATTCTCTGAACTTTAGTCCACAACTGAAACATGCTAGACTGGACTTCCCTGGCCTGACCAGTGAAGTTGTCAACTGCAAAATAAGTGATATTTAAAGATCTCCCAAGACAATCACTTTAAGAAAAAACGTTTAAAGGGGCATGAAATAGACTACCTGGTAAACCTTGATCTCCTTTTATCCCTATTGGTCCCATGGCTCCTATAAGCAAAATATAGAAAAAATAAAAATAAATGTGAAATAAGAATTGACCAGAAAATTAAACTTTACTTGAATTTCAGCATCTGATTACTTTATTACCTGTATCACCTTTTTCTCCTGGGGAACCAGCATATCCTTGTATTCCTGGAACACCTAAAACATATACAGGATACATTAAAATGAAATCTTATTCTCTGTATCTACTAGGGATTAAGTATCACTGAGCTCCACAGGATTTACAGTTTAGCAAAAATGTGTGTGTGTGTGTGTGTATGTATGTATGTGTGATGTGTGTGTATGTATGTGTGTGTGTGTGTGTGTGTGTGTGTGTGTGTGTGTATATATATATATATTTTGTGCTGATAAATAAATAAAGGGAGACTAGTATAGATCTATTTCAAGCTATTTAGCTCTCATCAGCTAGCCATACCCTTACTGGGACAAACACAACACAAATGTAACAAGGGCAACAGTAAAAATATTGGGTTTCTGTCGTGATGGACTCTTGTGACGAGCCAATTGACAAATGATGGAAGCAGTTAGCTTCTTCCCATAATT